GCCATGAGCTGGGCTAGGTAGGAGGCATGAAATCTCTCCTGAAAATGCAGAGAGAAGGATATGCAGAAAGAGTAATCTGCCTAACACAACTGAGACAGCATCTAATGTTTTGGGGTCAGTGCTTCAGAGCTAATGTGTAACATTTGAAGCCCCAGGAAGTCATAGCTTCTATCCCAAGGCTCGATCCCAGTTGACATCCTGGAGCATTGGCTCACAAGCCCGTCTCATTTGAGGGAGCAATAGGGAGTTGGGGAAACACACCTGCCATCTTCAAAGATTACCACCAGCACCTGGGCTAGACCAGTATGCATTGCTTAAAGCCAGTTGAAGGGGTAAGAAAAAGTCCCGGCCAGCTCTGCACACATCAGTACTTGGAAATAGGGTCAGGCTCAGCCAAAACGGAGACAATTGCTCCTCTTTCCAGATGGTCCTCCACAGGTAGCATCAATGTGTTCTGTGTTTGGCCTTCTTAGCTGAATCTGGACATGGAGAAGCACCAACTGGATATTGGAAGGAAGGAGGAAAATATAATCAAGTTTTGGTTGCACATGGGTCCAACCAGACAGGTGCCCACCTCTAACAAAAGCCACTGCCCTGGTCAGGCAGCCTCCTCCATAATCCCCTGTTCTCTGGTCTCCCTTAATCGTTTCCTCTCCTTGCTCCTCTACTGCAAGGGTGGTAACGGCTCTGGGACTCCCTGGCCTGGAGTAATACACCACCTTTATTAGTTTCTCTCATCCCCCCACACCATTCTAAATCATTCTTTTGCCAAAATCTCCTTAATTACCCCATTGGGGTGACATCTGTTTCCTACTGGAACTTAGCTAACTAAGGCAACAGTGGGCAAAATGAAGAAGGTACCTAGAATAGTACCGGAGGCACATACCAAATCATTCAAACAAGAGCACACACACACACATACACACACACACACACACACACACACACGCACACTTACACAGGCGTGAACTTACATATGCATACACACATATACATACATGCATACACAAACACACAGACATGCACATACACACTCAAACTTGGCATTTATATTATTGAATATGTCTAAGTTTATATATCTAGTCTTTTATTTGCTTTGTTAAGAGTGGGCCATTTTTAAATTTCAAAAAAAGAAACAAGTAAATATTTTAAGCTTTCACACTAGAGATCCAAAGAATCCAGCCAAGAGCCTGGATCTCACAGCAATGTCCTGCAGGACTCTAGATGAAGACCTAAAGCCCATGGCAATGACCTCCACAAGGCCAGCTGGAGGCCTAGAGCCCATAACAAGACCTCATGCAAGTCTGTATGAAGGATCTTCACTGAAAAGGCCTGAAGGTCAGTGTTGGAAACTAGAAAGTCTGTACCAATGGGATGAAGGATCTGTGCCAGCAGGCTGAGGAATCTGTGCTGGAGCCAGGAAGCAGTGTGCAAGGTAAGGACCAGAGCTCCCCTGAAGAGAACCGCAGCCATCCTCACTGACAGCAAGGACCCGAGCCCCTCCAGTGATGAAAGCAGCTTTCATATAGGAAAACCATCCCGATAAGCTTCTCCAGGAGAATCAACAGCACCCCATCCTCCCTTCCACTTCTTTCATGTTTGCAGCAATCCTCGGGGGGCCTTCCACACTCAGAACCACGCTGATTCAGTGCAGCTGGGTGTTACAAGTTGATCATTAGTTAATCCACCACATAGACAAACCCCCAAACTAATCTGTTTCAACAAATTGATTTTACCAAGTCAATTTAACAGGAAAAGGATTTTTCTTTTTTACAAATGTTGCTGAAACAGATATATAATGAGAAGTAAACCTCAATCCAATCAAAATTGCACCTTACTGCCAACAAATACTAACTCCAAAAGGTTCAGAGATCTATAAGCAACTCACAGAAGCGTTAATACTTCTGGAGGAAAATATAGGAAAACTCTTTTATAATTTCAAGGTTGAAAAAATCGTCTTGAACTAGACACAAAAATCATATACCATAAAGGGAAGAAATAGATAAATTAGACTTCAACAAAATTAAGTTTTCCTGTTCACCAAATGATGATATTAAGAAAAAAAGCCATTGACTGGAAAAAACTATCTGCACATATTTATATACATGACACACTATTTACATATATTTACATATATGACACTGCCCTATGCTAGAAGCAGAGAAGAGGGAGCTCTGGGCACCTGACACTGCTTGTCTCTCTGCCCCAGCACTGTGTCTCACCCATGGCTACAGCTCTTCCACAGCTCCTCTCATCAGACTTTGGCTCACCCCTTCATCTCTAGTAACATTAATAGCTTCCTACTGGATGTTTGTACATTCTTCACTCTGTTCATATTTCTACAGATAATCCCATGAGGGATGAATTCTGTTTCTTATCAAGTCCCTAACTGATATGACATCCCAGCAGCTCTACTGGTCTTGATGCACTTTCACATCCATTGGTTGGTTCTCACAAATATTATCTTCGTTTCTTATTATTATTATTACTTATTTTAAAGTGGAGATGCTGTGGCTTTAATAGGGGGAATAGTTTATCCAAAATAACGGCATTAATATAGAAAACATTTGCCCTATCTCCAAATTCAATGCTCTTTGTGTCTTCCTTCCATAATCTTAGTTCAGAATATACACCAGGGACAGGTATGAGTGTTCATTTCTGCAGAAGGTAAATGGGTGCTCCAAGAAAAATATAAGCTCTTTGCCTGTAACAAGATTTAAAACTCCTTAGATTAAAACATCTGAAATAAAACAAGTAGGGGCCAAGAGTAAAGAGGTATGTTATCTTCTCCCCAGAAGAGAGAGAAGAGATAAGCAAAAGACAAAAAAAGAAAAAGAAATCGAGAGAATGTGCCTTTACCCACTAAATAGTAATACTAATACTAACTATAAGTGGTAACTAATCCCACACTCAGCTCCCAAGAAAGAAAGTGTGCCCTGGTGCCTAGGAACCAGTCCACTTCCCTAGAAACGTATTTGCTACCACCACACAGCCTTGTGTCCCAGAGATGAATATGAACATATTTTGGTACCGGGAATTGAACTCCAGAGCTTTTGCTGGCCAGGCAGGTGCTTATGCCAATGAGCTATATCCCTGGCCCATATGAATGTAATTTTAAACAGTGGGTCCCTCAGTACAGAAGATAAACCCACAAAACTTCACATGAACCCAGCGTGTTAAACAGAAGAGTTTGACCTGAATCCTGTAATTGACTAGCTCAACAGAAGACAATAGAGTTTAGCACAAAGTACTCAAAATCTATGTAACCTTGAACAAGATGTTCCCCTTCTCTGGAGAGTGCCCCCGTCTTCAGCATCAGGATCCACCAAGGTGGGGCACTCAGGTGCCCAAATGCTGTGTCCTACAGACTCTGCAGTGGCACCAGAGTGGAAATAAAGAGATAGGCTGTAGTTAAGTTTATTTTACTCCAACAAGATTTTTAGATTAAGGGAAAGCTACAAGGGCAGAAAAGTCACTGTTTCATAAATCTGGGTCTTACTTATAGCCCTATTTCTCATCACCCATATAAAGTCTACAGAGTAGATGGAAGAGAGAAGGAAAGGAATGAGATGAGAATAGCGTGATAAAGAAGCTGACCACCTATCCCTTATTGGGTAAGATGGCTCCAGAATCAATCTTAATGTTTGTGTTCACATCAGTGGTCCCCCATACCTGAGGCTGAGATGAGGATAACAGATTTTCCCTGTGCCTGTTCCAGAACCAGGAACAAAAGAATCTGGACACTGTAAGGTAATCACCCACAAAGAAAGGAACTAAACCCCCAAGTCCACATAATTTTGAAGTCACTATTAATCCCTATCCTTGGAAAGAATTACTAGACATATAACACTCACTCCCGACCCTGGATGGGCCAAGATATCCAACAGTATGCCCAGAACAGGGGGACATGCAAATGAGTGTTCTTATGACCCAGACTCAAAGGGGAAAATGTGGACAGTCAACAAGTAACTATGTTCCAAAATTGGCAAGGTAGGGGAAAAGAGCAGAAAACCAACATTTCTTCCCCTTTCCTTAATGAACCCCAGTTCTGCTCAGCTATCCATTCTGTCTCTATGTATCTCACAAGACTCAGAGAAGCTTACTCCATCTCTAACTCTGGATGTAGATTCTGATTAGTCTAAACAAATCAAGGGATGGCATTTTCCTGGTGACTCTTACTAATCATCAGTGGGCACAAGCCTAAACTGGCCCAATCAGAGTAAAAGGAAGAATTGTTGTTCCATATTTGCTAAAACCATCTCTCACTCTTTTCCCTCTCTCCCCTCATCTATCCTCTTCTCCTTTTCCCTTTCTTCTAATGCACAAAGTCAATAGCACATTCTTCCCAATTTTACTGGCAGCAAATTGTGCCTAGAAGGAAAATTAGTCTAAAGATGCCATAATTATGTATTACATATCACAGATATGGAGACAGCCTGGTTTCTTGTTGATATTTCTGCACCATGGAGTCAATCAACACTGAAGCTTCTGTAACTTATACAAGATAATAAGCCGTTTTGAGTCACAATTTATGTCACCAAACCTTTTAACTGAAAGTTTATTGTGCTTACGCTGTCTCTACAAAAGATAAGAAAATGTTTGGGGTGTAGCTCAGCGGTTGAGCATTTGCCCAGCATATATACTGCCCTAATCCCTATCCCCAAGAGCATAAAAAGGCAGAAAAAAGAAAAAGAAAAAGTGGCTCTAGCTAGGGAGGAACTGTTTAACGGAGATAGGAGAGTTTGGCTCACCAGCTCTTGTCCTGTAATCCAGTATTGTAAACAGGGACAGTTGGGCAGCACCATGGACAGTAGCGCTTGGGCAGCACCATGGACAGCGCTCTGGCTTTCTGCATCTTGTCCTAATGACTTCAAGGCCAGGACTCCTGCCGTACACGAGTACTAGGAAAAGTTTGAATTGGTTCCAATTAAGCAGCTAAAGGTTGAGAAGAAACCCATGATGAATTTCAAAAATCCTCCCACTTCATGACAGTAACACAGTGACTTGACTGAGTTGAAAAGCAGCATCTGAGAAAATGGGTGAAAGAATAAGATCATGTCCTTCACGATGTGGGTTGGCATAGAAGAGGTTTCTTATTCTCCATTGCAGAATATCTGAGAATAAGCAGAGGAGGAGGAAGATAATGGAACAGAAGGAGACCTACAGAAAGGAGAGGGAGCTCAGGAGCTCAAGGTCTCTATGACTCTGTACACCTTGATAGCCTGAAGGCTTTTAGGTCTCCCAGAAAAGGTTATCCTGAGAAAGCAGCAGAATGCCAGACCAGGGAATAGCCTTGTGTTTTACAGGCCTTTTTAACAATGCTGACTTCTTTGCACAGTTTGTAGACTGTAAACCACTGCTGTGACATTAAAGAGGAAGGAAAGGAAAAGGAAAAAAGAGGAGTAAGAGAGGGGAGCCCTCATTTCTGGACACATACGAGGTACTCCTTAGATACCACGCAAGAAAATCAGAGAGCATTTCAGGGGAATAACTTCCTGTA